AAAAATGGGAATTAGGGAGACACAAGAAGGAGTTGGTTGGTCCCTCTGGAGAAGGTGGGATTAGTCTGGGATCAGCACCCAGAAAATGGGAATTATAAAGGGAGACTAACACATTCCTGCTGGTTTTCAAGGAATTGCTCCAAATTTATCCTAAAAATGGGAATTAAGAAGAGACAATAAGAGGTTGGTTTGTCCCTCTGGAAAAGGTGGTGTTAGTTTGGGGTCAGCACCCAGAAAATGGGAATTATAAAGGAGTACGAATGGATTCCTGCTGGTTTTCAGGGAATTACCCCAAATTTAACCTAAAAATGGGAATTAGGGAGACACAATAAGGGCTTGGTTGATCCCTCTGGAGAAGGTGGGATTAGTTTGGGGTCAGCACCCAGGAAATGGGAATTTTAGAGGGGAACTAATGGATTCCTGCTGGTTTTCTGGGAATTACCCAAATTTAACCTAAAAATAGGAATTAGCGAGACACAAGAAGGGATTGGTTGGTCCCTCTGGAGAAGGTGGCGTTAGTTTGGGATCAGCACCCAGGAAATGGGAATTTTAGAGGGGAACTAACTCATTCCTGCTGGTTTTCAGTGAATTACTCCAAATTTAACCCAAAAACTGGGAATTAGGGAGACACAAGAAGGCCTTGGTTGGTCCCTCTGGAAAAGTTGGTGTTAGTTTGGGATCAGCACCCAGGAAATGGGAATTTTTGCGGAGAACTAACACATTCCTGCTGGTTTTCAAGGAATTGCTCCAAATTTAACCCAAAAATGGGAATTAGGGAGACACAAGAAGGGATTGGTTGGTCCCTCTGGAGAAGGTGGGATTAGTTTGGGGTCAGCACCCAGGAAATGGGAATTTTTGAGGAGAACTAACACATTCCTGCTGGTTTTCTGGGAATTGCACCAAATTTATCCTAAAAACAGGAATTAAGGAGAGACAATAAGAGGTTGGTTGGTCCCTCTGGAAAAGTTGGTGTTAGTTTGGGATCAGCACCCAGGAAATGGGAATTTTAGGGGGGAACTAACACATTCCTGCTGGTTTTCAAGGAATTGCTCCAAATTTATCCTAAAAACAGGAATTAAGGAGAGACAATAAGAGGTTGGTTGGTCCCTCTGGAAGAGGTGGCGTTAGTTTGGGATCAGCACCCAGGAAATGGGAATTATAAAGGAGTACGAATGGATTCCTGCTGGTTTTCAGGGTATTACCCCAAATATAACCCAAAAATGGGAATTAGGGAGACACAAGAAGGGGTTGGTTGGTCCCTCTGGAGAAGGTGGCGTTAGTTTGGGATCAGCACCCAGAAAATGGGAATTTTAGAGGGGAATTAAAACATTCCTGCTGGTTTTCTGGGAATTACTCCAAATTTAACCCAAAAATGGAAATTAGGGAGGCACAAGAAGGGATTGGTTGGTCCCTCTGGAAAAGTTGGTGTTAGTTTGGGATCAGCACCCAGGAAATGGGAATTTTCGAGGAGAACTAACACATTCCTGCTGGTTTTCAGGGAGATCCAGGGAAGGACGGCCTGAGAGGTGAAAGAGGCCCCCCAGGCCCCAAGGTAGGTGCTGAGTCCACGTCTCTGTGGTGGTGCCACCACCTCGGGCAGGTCACAGGGGAGGAAAACCCAGCTCAGGTCTCCTCTGAGCCCCCAAAAGTTTGGGATTTCAAAGCAGAGCTCCTGGGATGGGCTCAGGAACTCGTGGTTGTACCAGAGCCAGGGTCCCACATCTCCACAGAGCTTCTTTGGGAAGAAGAATGTTCTTCAGGAGCCAAAGAGGATAAATTTCTGGAATGTCCACGGATTGTTCCTTCCTTCCCTCCTCCTGTGAGTAGAAGAGCACATGGAAAGGGTTGGAAGGAGAAATGGCTTCGGATCCCACACATCCAAGGTCTTTAGAGGTGGGAACAGCTCCTTCCTTAACGGAGAGGCAAACGCTGCAGGAAGCGGCACCAATGGGGACAGTGAGATTTCCTGGTTGCCATGAGATCCAAACCTTTGGAAAAGCAAAGATTTATCCAGGGAAGAGGCATCCCAAGTTGTCCCTTGGCTGGAGATGCCCTCGGGGCCTTCCTGGTGCCCTTCATTCCACCGGAATCTGTCGATGCAGAACCCGGATTTCAGTGAAATGAAGCCCCTCAGAGAGGCAGGTCAGCCCCAGCTCAGCTGATGTTCCTCACCCCAGGAGCCTCCAGGCTGGACCTTCCCAAACCCCTGCAGCTCCTCCCTGCAGCATCCAAGATCTCCGGCCTGGAGATGGAATTCCATGGCCGTGACCTTCTGTGGGAGCCCGTCCTGCTGGAGATGTTGAGCCCAGCCATGTGTGGGGCCACCAGCACCATGGCCACCTCCAGAAGGGACACGGGGACACCTTGGCCATTGTCCTCCTCGGTGTCCTCTGCACTGGTGGCACTGAGGGAGCTCCACAGTCTTTCATTTCTCTTATGTTTGTGGCCAAGAGGTGGAGAAGGGGATGGAGCAAAGCTCTGGCCCAAACCTCACTTGGATGCTGCTCATGGGCCAGACTTTCCCAAAAATTCCATCTGTGCCTGTGTCCAGTGGAGAAGAGAGGGATTCAAACCCCTAAATGGGATTTATCCGGCATTGTGGAGTGGGCTGGTGGCACTGATGGACCTCCACAATCTTTTCCCCATGTTTGTGGCCAAGAGGTGGAGAAGGGGATGGAGCAAAGTTCTGGCCCAAACCTCACTTGGATGCTGCTCATGGGTCAGATTTCCCAAAAATTCCATCTGTGCCTGTGTCCAGTGGAGAAGGGAAGGAGTGGGGTGGGATTCAAACCCCTAAATGGGATTTAGCTGAGATTATGGAGTGGGCTGGTGGCATCAAGGGACCTCAACAATCTTTTCTTTCCCCCATGGCCAAGGGGTGGAGAAAAGCATGGAGCAAAGTTCTGGCCCAAACCTCACTTGGATGCTGCTCATGGGCCAGACTTTCCCAAAAATTCCATCTGTGCCTGGGTCCAGTGGAGACGGGAAGGAGTGGGGTGGGATTCAAACCCCTAAATGGGATTTACCCGGGATTATGGAGTGGGCTGGTGGCACTGATGGGCCTCCACAATCTTTTCCCCATGTTTGTGGCCAAGAGGTGGAGATGGGGATGGAGCAAAGCTCTGGCCCAAACCTCACTTGGATGCTGCTCATGGGCCAGATTTCCCAAAAATTCCATCTGTGCCTGTGTCCAGTGGAGAAGGGAGGGATTCAAACCCCTAAATGGGATTTACCCGGCATTATGGAGTGGGCTGGGGGCACCAAGGGACCTCCACAATCTTTTCTTTCCCCCATGGCCAAGGGGTGGAGAAGGGGATGGAGCAAACCTCCCTTGGATGCTGCTCATGGGCCAGATTTCCCAAAAATTCCATCTGTGCCTGTATCCAGTGGAGAAGAGAGGGATTCAAACCCCTAAATGGGATTTATCCGGGATTGTGGAGCAGGCTGGTGGCAAACAAAGTGTCAGAGATGGGATTATCCCCCCTCCCTCTTCTAGCTCCTCATGGAAATGATGGAATTAATGAGTTGATCTCGTTTGTTCCAAGGGAGAACCTGGCCCACCAGGAAGAGGAGTGGAAATGAAGGTAAATAAATCAAAATTAAAGACCGTATCAATGTTGGAATCACCTCCCTCTCTGTCTGGGTTGGGATGGCAGAGGGNAAGCAGGAAAACTGCAGGAGCATGAGCCCTTCTGGAGGTCAGGCTTTGAGTGAGGAGCAGAATTGCTCCAAATTTAACCCAAAAATGGGAATTAGGGAGGCACAATAAGGGATTGGTTGGTCCCTCTGGAGAAGGTGGCGTTAGTTTGGGATCAGCACCCAGGAAATGGGAATTTTAGAGGGGAATTAAAGCATTCCTGCTGGTTTTCAAGGAATTGCTCCAAATTTAACCCAAAAACTGGGAATTAGGGAGGCACAAGAAAGGCTTGGTTGGTCCCTCTGGAAAAGTTGGTGTTAGTCTGGGATCTGCACCCAGGAAATGGGAATTTTAGAGGGGAACTAATGGATTCCTGCTGGTTTTCAGGGAATTGCTCCAAATTTATCCTAAAAACAGGAATTAAGGAGAGACAATAAGAAGTTGGTTGGTCCCTCTGGAGGAGGTGGGATTAGTTTGGGACCAGCACCCAGAAAATGGGAATTTTAGAGGGGAACGAATGGATTCCTGCTGGTTTTCAGGGAATTGCTCCAAATTTAACCCGAAAATGGGAATTAGGGAGGCACAAGAAGGGATTGGTTGGTCCCTCTGGAAAAGTTGGTGTTAGTCTGGGATCAGCACCCAGGAAATGGGAATTTTAGAGGGGAACTAATGGATTCCTGCTGGTTTTCAGGGTATTACCCAAATTTAACCTAAAAATGGGAATTAGGGGAACACAAGAAGGGATTGGTTGGTCCCTCTGGAAAAGTTGGTGTTAGTTTGGGATCAGCACCCAGGAAATGGGAATTATAAAGGAGAACGAATGGATTCCTGCTGGTTTTCAGGGAATTACTCCAAATTTAACCCAAAAAATGGGAATTAGGGAGACACAAGAAGGGGTTGGTTGGTCCCTCTGGAGCAGGTGGTGTTAGTTTGGGGTCAGCACCCAGAAAATGGGAATTTTTGAGGGGCACTAATGGATTCCTGCTGGTTTTCAGGGAATTACCTAAATTTAACCCAAAAAATGGGAATTAGGGAGACACAAGAAGGGGTTGGTTGATCCCTCTGGAAAAGGTGGGATTAGTTTGGGGTCAGCACCCAGGAAATGGGAATTTTTGAGAACTAACACATTCTTGCTGGTTTTCAAGGAATTGCTCCAAATTTATCCTAAAAACAGGAATTAAGGAGAGGCAATAAGAGGTTGGTTGGTCCCTCTGGAGGAGGTGGCGTTAGTTTGGGACCAGCATCCAGGAAATGGGAATTATAGAGGGGAATTAAAACATTCCTGCTGGTTTTCAGGGAATTACTCCAAATTTAACCCAAAAAATGGGAATTAGGGAGACACAAGAAGGAGTTGGTTGGTCCCTGTGGAAAAGTTGGTGTTAGTTTGGGATCAGCACCCAGAAAATGGGAATTTTAGAGGGGAATTAAAGCATTCCTGCTGGTTTTCAAGGAATTACTCCAAATTTAACCCAAAAAAATGGGAATTAGGGAGGCACAAGAAGGGATTGGTTGGTCCCTCTGAAAAAGGTGGCGTTAGTTTGGGATCAGCACCCAGAAAATGGGAATTATAAAGGGAGACTAACACATTTCTGTGGGTTTTCTGGGAATTACCCCAAATTTAACCTAAAAATGGGAATTA